AAACCGTTCAAAATGGTTTGGTTTGAAAATTTGTCAAAATCGCAAAAATCGGACCGCTTATACCCCTAGTCTTATGCGTGCTGCAGTAATGTGTTTGGAGAAAAACATAGATGATTTCATAGGACTTACAACTTGACCCGACATCCGTTCATATGTTTCTAAAGTATCAAGCAGCTTGCCAATCGATTTTTTCCTTCCATTGGCGAAAATAAGTAAATCATCGACATAAAATAAATGACTAAGCAGACATCCTCCAGAGTGAAAAGGCTGAACTTGATTGCTAGCAAAAGCTAGATTGAGCATTCTAGACAAGAGTTCTTGAGCCATAATAAACAAATATGGAGACAGAGGATCTCCTTGACGTAAGCCCCTCAACGGCTTGAAAAAACCGAGTCTTACCATTTATCATGATAGAGTAGTAGGGAGAGGAGATGCAATTAAAGATTAGGTCTCTCCACTGGTCGGAAAATCCTAGTTTCCGTAAAACCTCCAAAAGGAACCTCCAGTTTACTCTGTCGTATGCCTTCGCCATATCTATCTTCAATAAAATGTTTCCACCCCTCATTTTCTTATGAAAACTATGCATCATTTCCTGAACGATAGAAATATTTTCGAAAATACTCCTCCACTAAATGAAAGCTGATTGTTCTAGGGAAATTAATTTTTCTAGCAGTGAAGCCAAACGGTTAGCCATAATTTTAGACAGAATTTTATACACCACTGAGCATAGGTTTATAGGCCTAAATTTCGCAAAACTGTTCGGAACCTCCACCTTAGGGATCAGGATAATATTAGTAGCCCCCATGGCACAAGTAAGAGGGTAGCCCCCAAAGAATTCTAAAGCCACCGCGAGGAGGTCGAACTTGACAATATCCCAAGTAGTGATGGAAAAACTGGCACTAAAACCATCAGGTCTAGGGCTGCTGTCTTTAGGTATAGACCAAAGAGCATATTTAACCTCTTCCAGAATTGGTGGTTTGCATAAATTTCTATTCTCCTTCTCGGTAATGATTGGCGTCAAAAGATCAAAATTAATATCACCCAAGGAAGTAGGTGAACTGAGAATAGCTCTTGAAAAAACATCACGCCCCCTTGTGTATTTCCCTAGCTGACTTAAGTTCCGTGCCATCATCAAGAATCATGTGATCAATAAATTGACTCTTACTCTTATTTTTCACCGAAGCATGGAAGAATTTTGTATTTCCATCACCCTCCTTCAGCCATTTAATGCGGGATTTTTGCGTCCATAATGCTTCCTCCCTTTCTAGCCATATAGCGTATTGATTTCGACCTTGCAAGAGCTGATATTCAGTATCTAGTGAGAAAGTTTCCATCAGTATGTTTTCCAGATGAATCAGATTGTTTTCATATGTTTCGATCTGCTGTTGCACCTTTCCAAACACCTCACGATTCCAAGATTTAAAGTTGTTTTCATATTCCGCAATTTACGCCCTAAGCAAACCATTGGAGAGCTAGTCATATTTACTTCCCATATTCGTTCCACTAGAGGTAAAAATTCTTGATGGGAGCACCACATACTATGAAATCGAAAAGGTCTGGAGCCCATCAAGTTCAAGTTATTCCTGCAACGCAAAATGATAGGGCAATGATCTAACGAAGTGCGTTCCAAATAAGATAATGCTACTGAAGGAAATAGGTTCTTAAAATTCTAATTTATCAAAATACGATCAAGGCCAGCCCAAATTCGACGAGTACCCTATCTCCTATTACACCATGATAATTTTGGCCCGTCAAATGGGATGTCCATTAAGCATGTGTCATGGATAAAATTATTAAACTCCCTTATGGCCATAATAGAGGAAGGCAGACCACCAATCTTCTCATCAATAAACCGGATAGTGTTAAAGTCACCTCCTATTAGCCAACTAGAGTCACCGGGATCTAAACTTCTCAACTGATCCCACAATTCCCTTCTTCTTCTTAGACAACAACCAGCATATACAAGAGAAAATAATAGCCGAGCACCTTCACATGTTACGTATTTTCAGATTTTTTGGTTATAGATTCTTTTTTTAGTTACAAATTATCAATTTTAAAGTCAGAGTTCAATAGCTAGGTCACAGACACCAGAAAGAACCACCACCGTCGTTGACCCCGCTATAGCAATAACAAAAAACAACCACCACCACACGGATCACCATCACCACCGCACGACCACCACCATAGATCCACCAGCACAGCCCAAAACATACCACCATAGATCCACCACCTTCACAACTACACATCCCCAGATCTGCAACATTTTCTAAAACCAGATCTCATCTTCCCGACGGTTGCCACCAGATCCACCGCCCACCACAAACAGTGGGTCACATACATTGGTACCATCGACACCACCTCCACCCCATCGTAGCCACCAGATCCATGCACACCTATCACCACCGATAATATAGATCTCCACACCACAACCACCACCCAACAAAAAAGCCCCAACCAGCCTCCAGATCGGTTTAATGTTGTAATAGTACAATATTTAGCATCGACAAATACTAATTTATAGATCTCGAAGGGACCATTCACAGCAGCGTCGAAGCCGGCAGCAGCGTCACGATGCTGCGCTGATGTTATTCATTGCAGCGTCGAACGCTGCTCAGAGTAGTGTTCGACGTTGAGCATCGACGCTGCATCATTCGACGCTGCTGTGAATCAGCAGCAGTCGATGCTGCTGTGAATCGATAGCAACGTCGACATTGCTGTGAATCGTCAGGGAGAAAAAGGTAGGGAGGGAGGAGGAGAAGGGGAGGGAAATGATAGAAACGATGGAGAGAGAGAGAAATGATGGTGGGGGGAGTGTGGGGGATGAATTGATAAATTAGAGTTTCAAATGAAAAATTATTTAATTAAAATGATAAAAAAACCATTTTTTTGAAAAGATAAAAAACCTGATAAATGAAAAAAAACGTGAAAACTTGATTTTTAAAAGGTCAAACTTAATGCCTGGTTTTTGGTAATTTTCCCTTTCTATATCCCACTGCCTCTCTCTAACGACCACTGGCCCATCGGCATCACAGGTCTTTTGCCATCTTACCCAGCTCATCTTACATTAAAGACACAAGGTAATTTCTCAACTCTTTTCTGTGCTCTCCAATACTTCTCTACTCTCTACTCTCATCCAAAATTGAAGCCCTTTATTTTTGTTATTATTAGTTTTTATTTATTTATGAGATTATGTATAATTGGTGACTTGGGTTTGACTTAATTTGGTGAGATTTGAATTGGGTTTTATAAAAATCTACATTTTCTTTTGTGCTTCTATATTGAATTTTGGTAATGCGAAATTTGTTTTTAATTTGGTTCAATGCCAAAAACGATTTAAGAATCATTTTGGGTAGGTTTTGTTTGGCATAAACATATTGACTCGGTCGGTTTTGGTTTCGGGTTGAGCCCAAAACCGACCCACGCCCATCTCGACTATTAAAAATAAAATCACCGCAAACTCCAGTTGAAAGGAAAAGTAGAATACATTCCATCCACACACAATAACTAGAAGCTAAAGACATAAGAAAAGCAATAATCTGGACAACTTCATTTCTCACTCCGAATAAACTTGGACGAACCACAATTTTTATAATGAAAAAGAGAATTAATTTCCAACACGATTGATGCATTAGGGCACGAATAAACCCCCCAAAACAGGCTTGTCTATCCATAGCTATAAAGTTCGAGAGAGATATCGATGGATCATCGCTAGAGTTTCTTTAGGCTTATACCATGATGCAATATGTCCTGCACCCTGCAAAATAAATTTAAACACACTTGAATTTCTTGTTTTCAAATCCATGTAAGAAATACACATTCAAACTTTGTCTTGCCTTGATTGTCACAGATGTGAGACGGAAGTCATTATCCTTGTACTTCTGTGTGTATCTACAAATGGTAAAGTACATTGCAATTTTGAGAACAATAAAATTACACACATAAGAAAAAAGAAAAAGAAAAAGAAACAAACCCCGCGACTTGGTCATTAACAAGCAAAGGTTTCCAGCTATCATTAATAGTCAGATTGAGAATGCGAAACCATGTTAAAGGACCCATATATGGTGAACCCAAGTCACGATCACCGCTGGAAGAAAAGAAGCATAATTATACAAAGGGTAATTGGCGCAAAACGTCCCTACCTATGAAATCATCCAAACCTTTCTTTCTCAAATCCATGCAAAGATCGACTTCCCAAACCACCAGATTTTGGCATC